CAGGTCTTATCTGTACCAATGTACATTCTTTGATCTAGCCGGTTTTATGAGGTAGAATTGGGGTCATAATATTGGGTGGGTGGGGGGAGCATTCAAGAACTAGAGGAAAGTTGTGTGTTTCATCTGTGCTATCCTGCACCTTGACTGGCTTGTCTCTTCCTTGTGACCCTTCTGTAAGGGGATGTCAGTTGTCTACAGATGGGCTTTGGGTCTCCACTCCGTACTCCCCCTCTTTCACAGTGATAAGATGTTTTGTTCTGGGTCTTTGATGCCTGATAACCTGATCCTGTCGACACCTCATGATCTCACACAGGCGAGGCCATCTTTTTTTGTTTTTAAGTTTCATTGGCACTTCATCCACATATCACATAATTCAATAGTTCAGTCATATCAAGAATTATACAGTCTTTACTGTAATCAATTTTAGGTCATTTTCTTCCTTGTACTGATTGTTACTTGTGTGATTTTTGTTTTCCAATTTTGGCAAAAATATTCACAACAATCAACCATTTGGTTTTATAGGCTTTACTTTTTGTAACCTTCATCCACATCATTATGGTTGACTCTCCTTGAGAAGGCAGCTCTTCCTCAGTCATACTTTGAATGACCTTGGGCTCTCCTCTTCTGGCACCATCTCTGATGTGTTTTGATTCTATCCGTAAGGTTTAAGTGACTAGTTCCTTAGGTATGGTAGACTATTCCTTCTTCATAGTCTGTTCTTAATATTGAAGCTCTGCTGAAACCGGTTCACTTTTGGTGGCCCTGCTGGTATTTGAGATACTGGTGACATAGCTCCGAGCAGCACACAAGCCACCACAGCATGACAAACTGACAGACAAGTGGTGCAACAGTAACCTACGAACCATATTCTTAGCGACCACCTTGGGAAAAACATCCGTAAGCTTTGAGGGGTGGCAGAGTGTGTGCAAGCATGGTATGGGGTCTTAGGGTGTCTTAAAGATCTTGCTCAGAATTTACATTTTAATAATTCCATGTGTATAAGTGGCACATAATCACAAAACTTCATTACCTAAATATACCTGACATGTAGCCTTACTAATTTTAAATGTTAAAATTTAATTTGATTATTTTCATTAACCTTTACCATCTCCAGAGGGACTAAATTATACAAAATACGTGTGGATACATAAACAAAATGTGATATATTCATACAATGGAACATTATTTGGATCTTAGAAGGAAGAAAGTATATTGTGAAATCTACAATATGGTTGAACCATGAGAACATTATGCCAGGCACAAAGGGCCTCATAATGTTCATATGCAAGGTCCAGAGTAGGCAAATTCATAAAAAACAAAATTAGTGAGTGCCATGAGAATATTGGGACTAACTGCTAGTTAACTCCGGACTTTTCTTTTGGGGGATGGAAAGAGCCTGCTGTTCAGTGGTGGTGCTACAGTGAATATATTAGAGTGCACTGAAGTGTCCTTTTTTAAGGGCTTTATTTTATGTGAAATGTACCTCAGTAAAATACTGTTGTTTAAACAAGTAATGCTGAGTCTTTGGTTACATTCATTTTATATTTTCATAAATAGTACCTTGTAGTCCTTCATTGAGATGATATCTTTTTTATCTTTTTACAAGCTATCTATGAGAATACCTGTTGCCCTCACACTGATGCTGTCATTGTATGTAATCAATTTTAATCATTGCCCATATGATTGTTGAAAAATAATATAGAATATCTTTTCTATATTCCTTTTATATAGCCTTGCTGTAAACTTCTATTCATCTCCATGCCTGTTTTTCTGTTAATGTTCTTTCATATATTTATTTTAAGAATGAATGTCTTTATAGTTTTTTTCCAGTTTTCTCTGACTTAATAGTGGATTTTACCATGATTGTCATCTTTACCATGATTGCCTTATTTACTGTGAGGGAAACTAACCCCTAATACATCATCACAGGTCCAGTAGGCGCATTTGTATGGCGATAATAAGTAAAGATTATAGTAAAGTCCTAGAGAGCATGAGAGATAGAAGAGAGATTGAAATAATGGAGTCAGACACATTTCATGGTAGCATGCTTACCTCAGCTCCACTTGGTGGTCCTCCTGGGGGAGAGCGAGAGTGAGAGCAGGGGCCACAGAGACTTTTATTGCTAACCAAGACTCTAACTTCTTAGGGGGGTGTGATTTCAGGTAACCACACGTCACAGGAAGGGGCAGTACAAGAGGCATACACATCATAGGAAGGGGATGTACAATAGGCATAAATGTGACAGGAAGGGGATGAGCTAGGGGTGTGCACATAGGAATGGGAAGGACTAGAGGTATACACGTGACAAGATGGGCAGACCCTAGACTCAATATGGCAGCCTAACCTTGGTCACCCTTGGGTGGGCTTGACCTCTTGGGTCTCCTACAAGGAAATAAATAGTCAACTCCTATCCTTACAGAAGGGAGTGGATCCTACTTGTGGGATAAACAGTGGTAACTGCTTGCTCTAGATGGCTGATAACCCTTAGGGAGAATAACCCCTGACCTACTCCTGTTGACCTCCAAGTGTATAGTCATTCGCCACGTGTAACAAGCAGCTAAGTTTGGCATATATTTGGGGGAGACCACTTGGGAGAAATCTTTCTATTTCCCACAATTTACCAACTATCTCACTATCCAACATTCACTTTTAATGACGGTAGTAAAATATCTGACTGTTTTGTATATTAACAACATGTGTTTGGCAGTAGTGATAAGATGTGCAAGACTAAAGGAATGCTAGTTGTGACATTGAAGTTACCTGTCAACTTGGTTGCCACGTTTCTCAGTAATTTGCCACTTATACAGTCTAGTCACAGTTCATTTTGTGATCTGATGTGATCATTCTTTATTTTTTTCATTAACACCAGATTTCACATAATGAAACCTAACCAGGTCAGTACGTGAGAATTGGTTTTATGGTATGTATTAGAGAGCATCCTATCTCATTGACATCTTTGATGAGGGTTATTAATTTTCCCAGTGCATGCTAATAGACTTATTGTGCCTTAGGTTTCCACATTTTAAAAAAGGACCTTATAAGCAAGACAGGTTCTGGATAGATAAGCCTCCTCCTGCTACTTACAGCAACAAAAACTCACCTGTTTCCATTGAGTTGATTTCAACCCTATACAACAGAGAGGAACTGCCCCATAGGGTTTCCAAGGGTGTAAATCTGATGGAAGCAGACGGCCACATTTTTCTCCTGACGAGCTGGCTTCAAGGTACTGACCTTTCAAGATCTTAGCCATTGTGCCTCCAGAGAATGATTAACTGACCCCAAATTTTGACTTTTGAGAAGCATGAAAGTGAATGAGTTTAAATGAATGAGCATTAAAATTGATGAGTTTTCTTAGAAAATGCGCAGGGGGAAAAGTCACCAGATTAGTCAGTAGTTGTGTGATAAAATGGATAAATATATGGCTAGAGAGGGGAAACAAATGTACCAAGTGGATGTGAAACCCAGTTGATTATTGGCCAATAAACATATTTTTACTCCAACTTTTGAGTCATGCAGCTTCAACAAAGAAGCCCCATGCTAGAGAGATAGTAATCAGTATTGAATGAAAAGAGATTTTATTCCTAACCTCATTAAACAGGTACACCACCTAACCATTACAGTTGAGCAAGTGTTAGGAGGGAATTTAATGGTCCTGTTTGTTTATAGAAAGTATCACGTTAAGTAGTGACTGCATAGTGTATTTTTGATAGTGTGGTCAGTGAAGGTTTTCCTGAGGGAGGTAGCTTTTATGCTGAGACCTACAGGTTAAGGAAAACCAGTCAGCCACAGTAAAGCTAAAGGAGGACTTTCTATACCAGGGAAAGCTTGGGAGGGTTCAGAACGTGGCCTCTTTGAGAAACCAAAAGAGGCCATTATGATTGCAACTCAGGTTAGTTGAGGTGGGAGAAGGAAGGCAGAAACCCTGCAAGCCTTGGCTTTAAATGTAGCATTGAAAATGACCAAGAGGAGGTAAACAATGGAATGACGTGATTAGGTTAATTCTTTAAAAAACCATTGAGTTTCTATATGCAGAGTGAAGAAGAAGCCGGTAAGAAATGAAGCAAGGAGTGGAATTAAGCTATCGTGAGAGTCTAGACAAGAGATGAGGGTGGAAAACATTGATAAATGGTGGATATATGGAGGGGAAAGATTCATGGATTGCTCTCAGGTGATATTTATTTCATGTGTTCTGCATGGGATCAAGTTTGAATAGTTGGAGTTAGGTGTATAAGTAATGATAGATAATGTTTATTTGTGCTTAGAAAATACTTCCACATCTATCACCTCATTTGGGGTCTTTAATTTTTTTAAACGTTTTGGCAGTTGAAATAATTTTCTTAATTCAGTAGTTTTCCTGAATGGAGCTCAACTTGGCATTCATAATTCTCACAGGAAACAACAAAAAGACTATAGGATATAGTAGAACTGTCCCAGAGGGTTTCCAAAGCTATAAATCTTTCTGGAGACAACTGCCACTTATTTCTCTCACGCAGCAGCTGATGGGTTAGAATCACCGAACTCTAGGTTTCCGTCTGCTTTAATTATAGTGCCAACAATACTCCTGTGTTATGTACTAAACAGGTTTGAAATGGTAACATTTCTTTTAGAGTAGATTCTGTAAATTTTGTCTGAATGAGAGTATAAAGTCCAATGTAGTTTTATGGAAAGGTAAAGAGAATTTTTTAAAATTGTAAACTGTTATAAAATCTATTTATATAAATAAATGAAATTACTTTAGAATGTTTCACTTATTAATCATTTTTCACTTGTGGAATAGATAACTGTACACTGTATATTTTGATGTGAAATTCAAATCAAAGCTCAGTAAATTCATTGAATAACTTCTAACATAACTCAGTTATATTTGGTATAAACAATAGTGTCTGTAATTTAATGTTTTTTACCTAGGCCTGTTTTAAAAATGTAAATTTTAGTGTTAATCTACAAATGGAATCATTTTCACTAGTTTCTCAAGAATATTTCTCAAATATATTTTTCAGAGGTGGCTGGATCCAAATAAGCCAATAAGGAAGCAGCTAAAGAGTGAGCATACATATTTATTTGATGTTTTACAAGTATATATTTTGAAAGATAAAGAATTAATATAATCTGATTAATTAGAACTACTTTTATTCTAGGAGGATCTCCTTACAATTTGAACTTTAGAGTCAAATTTTTTGTAAGTGACCCCAACAAATTACAAGAAGAATATACAAGGTAGGTTTATGTAGCTTATTTTTCTTGAAAATATCTTCAAAATTATAATATGAAAATTTGAAACAAGTTAGGCAAAAATAAGATTACCATACTAGAGTTCTGAGCCTTCCTACCAGCGCACATGTGGATAAGTTATGAATGTTCCAAGTTCATATTCTCTTTCTCCCCTCTGAGCATAGCTTTCGGGGTTTGAATCCCACAGAGGTCTTTCCCAGCCACAGACAGCCCTTGAGCCATGTAGATCGAGAACTTTTCTATGTGTTAAATTAGCAAGCGTTGCTATAACTAAGTAAGAATTTGCTGCAATTTTGTCCAACAGATTTTTGTAGTAGCACTTTTGCCTGAGTTTTCTTCTCATATCAAAAACTATTATATTTACTGTGTTCTATGATTTTATTGAGAACATAGAATTCCATACAACTTAACTCAGCCTTTCTGTGGAGGAATCTTGGCCAGTAGTTGTCTTTTTACTCCGAGTAGTTTAATCTCACAATAATTATAAAGGCAGTTGTCCGAGAATATTTTAGCATCTTCATGTCTTACCCTGCCCATTTTACTTTTTATTCTTAAATCTGCATTTATGTTGCTGTTTAATTGACTTATATCTGATAACGTGTAGACAAGAATGATTCAAATGATCATCTTGGTAGTATATATGAATGTTGGGTGAAATCTTTAAGGTGGAAATGGCAGGGCTAGAGATGGGGTGTTAAAATACTCTGAAAGGTAACCCTGAGCTTAAAGGACAGAATTAGTTGCTGGATGCCAGGGAAATGAGAAAGGGTTTTAAAAAGATCATAGAAAATTTCAGAGTTCCAGTCACATTTTAAAGCCCCTTGATATTTATCTTCTGTGTAAGTCTCAGCAAAATCAGTAACTATATCAGAATTACTCTAAAAAATAATCACTGTTTAAAAAATCCATACCTAAGTAGACTGAGCATTCAATTTTAATGTATAAGTTATATTATACTACTAATATGAGAAGGGATAACAAAATGATAAAATTATTTCATTGACCCTAGTTGCCCATCCTAAGGTATTTTCAATAGTATACCAAGTAAGGAAAGTTAATTGACATTCTGAAGAGTTCTTTTCTGTGTGTTTGTTGGGAAGCACGACATTACTTCTCTTTAATAACAGGAGATGTTGGGAAGGTGAATATTAGATGTTCCTAGTGTTTGAAGCTTACAGTACAGGGCAAGCTAATTTATCTTGAAAAGCAAACTTGTGTTTTATGAATACCTTTTGGTTTGAATACTGTATTCTTTGACCAGTCAGATTCATTGTTATTGTTAAATAAAGTAATAAAATTATTATTTTTTATCAATAAGTAAGTCACAATATAAAAAATTTGGATGAATTGCAAGGGAAACTCCTGAATTAATGAAAATGGCTTCATTGATAAATCAATAGGTCTACTTGGTACAAAAGAAAAGCCCCCCCGCCCCCAATTGGGAACAGCACAAAGATCACTGCGACTGGGGTGTATATTGGTTGGGGGTAGAGAATCAGTTCTGGCTCTCTCCCCTTTAGCCCCAGCTCCATCTCATTGATCATATCATCCAATCTTTTTCAGCAAACACAACATCTTAGATTTCCCTCAAGTTGTAATCATTGCAGGGCAGAGAGAAATAGGGTTTGTGGGGCAGGAATTACTACTGTCTTGGGTGAGAGTTCTCAACTCAGAATGAAACTTTTACATGTGGCAGAGAAAAAGAAAGAAAAGTCGAGTTTGGAAGTCATCGAGGAGTTAACTTGTGCTCAAGCCATCAGTCTTGTTTTCACTAGAACCATTTATTTTTAAAAAGCATTGTAATAGAATGTGATGGAATTTTGTAGGTGGTGGTGTTTGGTTAGATGGGATAAGAGGTCTGATTTTTTTTGTATTCCCAAACTGAGCCAAGAGAGTTGCCCATGTGTTCCAGAACGGAGCTCTACTTTGTAGGGTTTCTCCTTCTTCTTCTTCCTCTTCCTCTTCTCTGTACAGAAGGAGATCCCTGGGTCTGTCTTTCACTGGTTCCTCTGGGTGGGTCTCACCACCACCTTTTATGTTACTAGTAGTGTAGCACAAACTAAGAGTGCTCCCTATGAATCTTTATTTCATAAGCATGCTGTAAATCAATGATTCTCTATTCCTACTACAATTTCAACTCTTTTTTTAAAAAATCGTTTTATTAGGGGCTCCTACAACTCTTATCACAGTCCATACATACATCAATTGTGTAAAGCACATTTGTACATTCATTGCTTCATCATTCTCAAAACATTTGCTCTCCACTTAAGCCCCTGGCATCAGGTCCTCTGTTTTTCCCCTCCCTCCCTGCTCCCCCCTCCCTCATGAACCCTTGATAATTTATAAATTATTATTTTGTCATATCTTGCCCTGTCCGACGTCTCCCTTCACCCACTTTTCTGTTGTCTGTCCCCCAGGTAGGAAGTCACATGTAGATCCTTTTAATTGGTTCCTCCTTTCCAACCCTCTCTCTACCCTCCCAGTATCTCCACTCACACCACTGGTCCTAAAGGGATCATCCGCCCTGGATTCCCAGTTCCTATCTGTACCAGTGTACATCCTCTGGTCTAGCCAGACTTGCAAGGTAGAATTGGGATCATGATAGTGGGGGGCGGAGGAAGCATTTAGGAACTAGAGGAAAGTTGTATTTTCATTGTTGCTACATCGCACCCTGTCTGGCTCGTCTCCTCCCCGAGACCCCTCTGCAAGGGGATCTCTAGTGGCCTACACAAATGGGCTTTGGGTCTCCACTCCGCACTCCCCACCTCATTCACTGTGGTAAGATTTTTTGTTCTGATGATGCCTGATACCTGATCCCTTTGACACCTTGTGATCACACCAGCTGGTGTGCTTCTTCCATGTGGGCTTTGTTGCTTCTGAGCTAGATGGCTACTTAATGCTTGAGCCACATCCCTATCTATTCTGATTTAATAGAAGTGGACTTCAAAAAGTTTGTGGAAAAGCGGGAAAAGGTTTTGGAATTTTTCCCTGAACTTTTTGAAGTCCTTATAAATGTCCCAGGTGGAATTTGTACATGAATATATACAAGTTTTTCTAGGTGAGTCTCATATGTAGCCAGGGTAAGAAGTACCCTTGTAACACTTTAGTGTTTAGTGATGTTTGTGATTACTCAGGTAACCTTAAAGACAGTTGCCATATTTTAAGGACTAGTTTTTAGGCCACACAAAATCGAAAACCTGCTACATTTCCTTCCCGTGAGGTTTACTTTGAGATTTAGTAGCGCTTCCTTCAAGTTAAACATCATTCAGGGTTACCAGGAGCAGAACATCGATTAGCATTTTCTAGGTTATTCTTAGGAATGATGAGAATATGAATGACATTTACTTCATATCTTTATATTTTGCCTAAGTGTACTCAAAAACAAAACGGGCGCCCTGGTGGTATAGTTGTTACGAGTTGGACTGCGGTCCTCATGGTTGGCGGTTCGAAATCACCAGCAGCTCCTCGGGTGAAAGACTGGGCTTTCTCCCATAAACAGTTACAGTCTTGGAAACCCTCCTGGGTTCAGGGTGGGTGGGGGTAGGGGTGGGTGTCTGACTCAGCACTGACTTGATGGCAGTGAGTTGAGATGTTACTGAGTTCATGGTATCAGTTATTGTATGACTTAGGAAAGTTATATTATTTTTACAACTTAAATGTCTTTCCTACAGTCATCATCTTAAAAGCCATATTGTACTTTTACCACCGTGCTTAGGGCCCATGAGTAAAATTAGGCAAGAGCAGTTAACATTCATGTAGTATGTACAATACTGTGTCAAGAGCTGTCATGATCTTTAAATCCTAACTCAAAGATTGTTTTTGAGCTTTAAACTTTTAGTGGTGCAATTAACTAAATATGACAGAAGTATAACTTTCCTGGATTGAGTCATGTATGAATCCTAACAGGGACTTCATTTGCCTCTCTTATATATTGAACCAAGATATTTGTATTAAAGAACATAATTAGATTTTTTTCCTCCTAATGAATAGCCAATTCCATGGAAACCTGAATTACATGTGAGAATTTGATTCTTGTTTTGAAGAACTTTAATCAGCTAAAGAAATAGAATTTTCAAAAAAATTTAGGTTCTGTAGTTTTTAAATGTGTGTGATATATATAAATCCAGTGATAATAACTAGTATCTTTTATGATGTTTTACTCTTGGAATATGTACCCTTTTTATAAGTGGGTTAGTTAAAAGATTGAAAACCAGAAAATTTGGCCTTCTGGCAGTGTTATCTGTCACTGGTAACTTAGCATAGCAGGGGTTGAACTGTATTCCCTTCTTTTTTTTTTTTTAATTATTTTATTGAGGGCTCGAACAATTCTCATCACAGTCCATACATACATCCGTTGAGTCAAGCACATATGTACCTTGCCCTCATCAATCTCAAAACATTTGCCCTCTACTTTAGCCCTCAATATCGTTTGCTCGTTTCCCCCCTCCCCCTCTCCCTCCTGAACCCTTCGTAATTCATAAATTATTATAGTTTTGTCATAAGTTACACTGTCCGATGTCTCCCTC